GGCAAATTTCCCTGGAAAAATTGGGTAAAAAAGGGAAAATTGAAGAAAAAAGGTAACGGGAAATGGAAAATTAAAAAATAACCACAAACACTCTGAACCTTTCAATTTTTTTATTGAATAACTTTATTAAATTTGGAGAACTAAGGGAAAATGAAATAATTAAACAATAAACAAAATACACTATAAACATTTTGAATAACTTTATTAATTACAAGTAGCATGTATTATAAATTACATTTAACATTCATGGGATGCTAATGAAATAGCATCAACATCTTCATGGGATGTAATTGAAATAATATAATTATCACTTGATATTGATAAATCTGAACTCTTTTGATGATATACCGAACATGATATATTTGTGTGATCCTTTAAATGTATCTTATGCCTGATTTATAATAATCTTTCGACTCCATCATTCTTTTTTATATTTCTCGTTTTTGAATAAATTTTTCATATGCTGACCAGACTCTTTCTGACGGAGCACTTGAGGGTGATATCGAAAGACATCTTAAAATGGGGTATATTTATAATAAGTTGCATGTATTGTCTTAGGACAAATTCCTAATACTCCAGTAAATTCTAAGAAGGGATTTTAAAGAGTGAAGAAGGAAGGGTTATTTTTATCTTTTAAATGTAATAAGATTAGGTTATAGTTATTCCTAAGAGAATTATTATCCGTTCCATCATATGAGTGGTTTGGTATGGATTGAGCTCTCCCATAAGCCAGTTCCTTTTTAGAAACCTTGTTTTGAACGATATTCTGCTAAATTACCCATAATTTTTCAATATCACAATTAATTTGTTCTGAAATAATATTTATTAAATTTAAAGCTACTGTTAATTTTACCCCATAATATCTATAATCCAGAAGATTTATTGTATAATGATATTCTCGGCAACAAAATTTCTTTCGTTTATTAATATGCATCTCAACACTTTTTAATCATTTTCATTAAAAATAAAAGTTCATGAATTGAGTTTATCTTAATATCCCAAAATATTTCTGGTACGTCAGATTATACCCCTGTATCCGATTCTACAATTATAATTTTATCATAAATAAATTCCAAAGTCAATACAGACTCTAATATATCCCAGTATCCTTCTTTGTCAAATATAATACGCCTTCTTTATTTGTAGACTTGAAATTGCAATTTCTTGCAAAACTTCCATATTTACAACATTTAGCATAGATGGAATTTTTAAGGAAGATTATATCCTTTAAATATTTGCCTTTCTTTAAAAGTTGCTAATAAAATACCATTAAATTTTATATATATAATTATTTGTTTAAAACGTATTTGGCATTCATAAATCTTTAATAAGCAGATTCAAGCCATGTGCGGCACATCTAAAGCATTCAATTAAAGACTCACGAGGAAAATAAAAATTATTTTAAAATTTATGATATGATAAAATTAAATTAAATTACAAATCATAATTTTTGAAATAAAATATTTTATTTTATAAAATATAAATCATAATTTTCGCAATAAAAGATTATATTTATATTAAGGGAAAATTAGGGAAATTTCGCAGGCAAATATGAAATTTCCTTGGAATTTTCCCGATATTTTCCTATCTTTACATCTCTAATCATGAATCAATCATTTTAAAAAAATATTATTCAATTAATATGATCATAAAAATTAATGTTTTAAATAAAATAGTCCCTAACAGCAAATATCGCGATATTGTCGATATAATAGCTTCCGAAATATAATAAGCAAAATAGTTTTCGCAATATTGTCTTCGCGATTTGGGGTTGGTGATAATGACTTCGCTATAAAACTTTCTCGAGATAAAAGTTTCGCTGTAATGAATTACTTTAAAGGTTTCGTGAAAAGGGTTTCATTATTAAAAATTCACAAATTGTCTTCGCAGAACAGTATTCGCTAATATGGATTCTCGATAAAGTTTCAGTTATTTGACCCCTAAATTGTTTATATTTTAGTTTATCTTCAATCCGTTTGGTAAACAGTATAAATGTAAAAATTATTAGAAATATAGGAGAATTACTAGAATATATACCGAGATTAAAAATAGAACAATGAATATAAAAACAAACGATATATCTAAGAGAAATTACTATCATCATAATATTAAAACTTTTGTCATATCCCAAAATATGAGACTCCATGTCCCTCGTTCTAACTTTGATATTTTTATAATTTAGAAGAGGTGGTACAAAAAATTAGTCAAATAGACTTTTTATTTAGGTTATGGATCACAGACCTTTAAAATATATCTTAGGTGATAAAACCTAAATAAAATAACAAATAACCGTTTAATACGGTGGGCGACGAAGCTATTAAATTACGACTATGAGATAATTCATAGACCTTATAATCAAAACAAATATGTCGACGCTCTGTCCCGTTTGGAGGTAGAGAGGGAAAAAAACTAATGAAGTTACAAAAAAAATCGAAGATAAAATTAGAGAATTAAAAATTAATTTAATAGAAGATTTATCTTTCACTCGCAATAAAGTCGTAAGTGAAACGAGCAATGATATCAATCTGAAAGAGATTATAAAATTAATTAAAAGTCGGTATATAGATAATATAAATAATTATTCGGAGATTTTAAAAAAATTTAATTTTCGAAGAAGTATTATTATTTTATAATAGGATTTTTATCCCTGATAATCTAAAGAAGGTTTAGAATGTTATTCATCAAGGATATCCTATGATAGTGGGAATGAAATTATTATGCAGATACTATATCTTTTGGGAAATTTGATCGTGATGTTGATTTTATTAAATGCTGCAAAAGTTGCCAGGAAGAAGGACCGAAGGCCAGAGAGGTGCCGTTATGCAATTAAATCATTCCTACCCAACCTTGGGAACGAATACACATAAATTTGACAGACCCCTTATGGAAAAATATTGGCTAATTTGCGTAGGCGCCTTCACCAAATGGGTTGAAGTTGCATTTACACATAAATTCGGCAAGTGTAATAATAATCTGCGTAATTATTTCTATAGATTTGGGTTATCTTATTATATTGTTTCAGATAACGGTACTTAGTTTATTGGATCTGAATTCCGTTTCTTTTAAAAAACAACATAAAACATTTTAGATCGGTCCCTTATAGCCCCAAATCGAATGGTTTGGCTGAGCGCTATATACGTACGATAAAGACGCGTTTCTTAGATGGAAGCAGATGTGGGACTCAGGACCAATTAGATTTAGCGAATGTTTTAATGATTCACCGAAATTCTAAATGCGACCGGTAAATCCCCTGCCGAAATGATGCTTGGAAGGCTGCTCAGGATAACGTTAGATCAGTGGAAACTATCAACGAGAAAAAGGACTGAAACGCATTATGGAAGCAAAAATATAATATAGATAGGAACGTTGATTCCCGTTAATTTGACGAGAAACAAAAGGTTTGGGTAGAAAATGAAAGGCTCTGGGATTGCATGAACGGACAGAGGTTCAACGGAAAAGTGGGATATTGTATAATGTTGAGCCTGAGGATATTGTAAAAAATAAATATGCAGACTAACTTAGCGATTCTCATGTACAAGCTAAGGAAATACACACAACAATGAAAGATTTGGACAATGCAGAACATAATGGAAATATAACTCTTAAAAAATCGAAACCTCCACTACGTTATCATGGCTAATTCAATTTGTAGTGAAAAGAACTGTAATTTATTAACTTTAAATAAATTGTATTTTGTTTGAGAAATACAATTCATGATAATGATTGATTATCGTAAATGTAATTTCGTTCGATGATGATAAAAATAAATTATTGTAAGTTAAATTAACTTTTGATCTTTCATTAGGTTAATTTTACGTTGCCCAATTTTGCAAACATGTTTATAATATCTTCCCTGGCTCTTTCATAATCCATTAAAATTTTGACTTTTTATCTATGAACTATATTTTGGATTCTGGGACTAAATATCCTACCTATGAATATATTTTGTCCATAAGATTCTGTCGGCAGAATTTTGGCCGGCTACTAATCTATCAGCTTGCATTATTATTCTGGGAGTTCCCAAGACCTAGATCCGGCCATTAAAGTGATAGTTACCATTAAAATCAATATATTTTCATTCAAATTTCATTAACGCGAAAAAGTTAGCCAATTTTGGGAATAGCATTTTGGGACGCGCCCCGATCTGGGAAATATAGGTTTGAATTTCTCTAATTTTAATATCGCTAACACCCTAGTTAATTTGAGTTTAAATAAATTTTGCAGTAAACTTTAATTGATAATATAAAAAGAAAAACAGAACATAATTAGCTTACATGGTTTAAATTAAGTATATATATATTTTTAATTAAACCAATGAACGCAATATTATGCAATTGATCCTTTTTTTAATACGTTCAAATCTAACAGCTGCTCGTGGAAAATATAAGTATAAATAAATTTATATTAAACAATCAAGCAAAGCTTAATTAATAAGTAATTACATGTTATGTGTTTGGAAATTTTTTTGTTTTATATTATAAGAAAAGTTTAAATGTTTTTAATTCATCTTAAGCGAAAATATTTTTATTAAAATTTCCTTTCTTATATGCTTATATAATATTTGATTTTTATCAGTGAAATGCTTTTCAAAATAAAAAATCTTCAAAGATTTTGATATCTGAAGAATTGTTTTGAGAATGCTCAAATTTTCCAAATCTTTTTTGTAAAAAAAATCTTTTATAAGCAAAACTTTTGTGATTTAAATTTTTCATGATGAAATCAAAAATTTTTTAAAAAAGGCAAAAAATTTTCAAAAGATATTTGCAATTTTTTTTTCAAAGATTTTAACATTAGCATAATCTCTTACAAAAAATACTTATATTTTTAAATTTATTAATAGCTAGATGGGTTACGCATATAATATTTGTTTTAAAAATTATAATTACATGAATTTTTTTTATAAATATAAATATTATAATAAATATGTACATAATATTACATCATTAATTTCGATATATTTAAGTAAAATATAACGCAATATAAATAAAGTAATAAGATTCAATTGGATAAAAAAAATTAATATTTATATTGGAATGATATATACATTTAATACCTTTAATGTTATATTGCATGGCATGGGTACAATATTAATTATTTATATGTTAGCGTCAATGTGATTTTCCGGCAATGTGTTATTTTTTCAAATTTAAATCATTTATTGAGCGCGTTTTTAAAAATCTGACTTTACCGGAAATGTATACCGTCACGTTTGGAATACCTACCCTATGAATTTCAGACAATTTTTCCATGAACTTTTAAACTTAATATAATTTATATTGAATTTTTCATATATTTTTTACATAAATTATAAATGACTCAAAAGTTAACAGCAAAATTGTCTACAATTCATAAGATTGGTATTCCAAACAAGATAGAATATTTTTCCAGTGAAATCGATTTTTAAATATAAAAAAAGGGCGCAAATGATCTAAAGTTGTAAAGATAACACATTGCCGGATAAAACACATTGATGCTAAGATATATATAATTTACATGTTTATAAAAAAATATAGTCTTATTCTTAATTTAATATTAAATAACTTAAAATTATTTTTTAAAGGCTATATTATTGAATTATTTACAAATCTTTGGTATTAAATGAATACTAAATTATTATTATTTTATTAATTTAACACTATTGTCAAAATTTAAACTTATTTTTTTACGCGTTGCAAATGGAGAAAATTATAAAAAAAATAAGATTCATTTATTGTTTGCTATTGAAATATTATTATATCGCGGTCAGTTTTGCTAAGTTGGAAAAAAGTATTAAACTCTAAATTGCCCATCTTTTAATAAACGAGAGGCTGTTTTTTTGGTAGTGAAAGGGAAACAAGATACAGTCGAGGAATGGGCGGTCTTACCAAAAAAATTGGAAAATTTTCGAGTGCCGTTAGAGAATGATTTATCATTATGCTTCCCAAATTTGGCTCTTAAATAATGATTAATTCCTTCCTCGGACATAGCATCTCGTTCTTTATCGAAGGTTGCCTTAGAATTCGCGTTATCGATTGAATCGGTGTTATTGATACTGAGGCTTTGGCAACTTTTGACTCCCACTTTTCTATCGGTTGTTGATGAGAGCCAGGCGGATAGTGGGTTGAGTAACGAAACTTTTTTAAGGGTATCGTTATTAACCTTACCGTTTGGAATTAGCGATTTTACGCACTTTTTTTTGTCATTTTTTTGATCGGAATCTTTGCCCCTTGACATCGCTAAAAAGGGGGTGAGAAGGAAGCGAGGCAATTTGTACGAAGAAGATCCCAGCCAAAGATTGGTGGTGCGTTTAAATGAATGACTCAAGCTCTTGGGATTGAAGGGATGATAGTTTTTACCGGGAGTCGATGAATGGTTAGAAGAATTGTGATGATCGGAGTGATGATTAAGGGGTTTAAGGGAAGAAGGCAGGTTTCGCAACTCATTTTTCTTTTTGTGGTTCGTCATGTAATATGTTTTGAGCTGGGATTTCAGGTTTGAAGGCAAGCAAAGACGGTTTATCTGAAAAAATTTGACGCTAACCATCAGGGATATGAAACATAACTCCTGTAGTGATTTCACTAATATATCAAAAAAATAGATAATGCATTTGTGAGCCACATTAAAAGTGGTGAAATTCGGTTTAAAAAAAACAATAAAAAATTGTTATAAAATGTCAGGAATATAATGAATTAAAATATAATTTGAGACGATAAATGAATAGCCAGAAGATATAATCTGAATTGCCATAATTATAAAAAAAATAAGAAGAAAAAACTATTGCCATAAACTAAAAAAAACTACTTCTATGGCTAAATATAGGTAAATTTATCAGCGCATTTTTTTAAAACTGAATTTAATTTCTCTTTAAAAATAGATAAGCTATCATTGCCCAACATTTATAAATATTCAGATAAAAATTAACCTTAATCAAAGAGTTTTTTATGAAGATAAGTCAAGGGCCACCTGGACTTTGTAAAATTATAAATTTAAAAAAACCGGTTTTATTGGTCCAAATTTTATCCATCCCTATCCTATGCAGAGCCAAAACCATAAGCTCCATTATCGACTCAGTCACGTTAAAATTACACAGCGGACTGATCTCAAAAAATTCCATGTTATGCTTCGAGGCGTATAGTTCGGCAGTCTCCTGGCTCACCTCTCTTTTGTATTCCAAGTGGAGTCTATTGCCGATTAAAATCTTGGGTATTCCAGGAATATGCTATTTTTTTTAAAAAAAAGAAGAAATATAATATTAATTTAGGTGGTAAGGAAGGATAAATTTTTATATCACAAGGAAAAAATAGATAATATAACTATCTTGCCTATCCGGAATGAATAGAACCATGAACTAACATGGCTTCCGGGTACGGGTGTGATAAAAAAAATGGCTGGCTTCGATTCCTAAAATTTTAAAAAATAAGATTATACTTTCGGTTCGTAAATATGACCCGGTTCAGAAGGTTTCAGATCTTTTGTCAGGACCGTTTTTGGAACAGGTTCCTGGAACTTGAGTACGGTTTAATAAATTTTTAAAAAGGGATCCAGGTTTTGGTTCATAGATTTACCCCGGTTCGGTTCCAAGTTCTCGTTTGGTTCCATATTTAGAATAGAACAACAATATAACATTGCCTGGGCAAAATAACTGATAAAGGGTCAAAATTTTATACAACAATCTCTTTGCATTCACAAAAAAGATAGGTTTCTTTAAAATTAAAATTCTCCCTGACATTTTTTTTATGAGATGCATGTATAAAATTTATCAATGTTAATATAGTAGTCGTTTTTTAAAATAATTTTTTAAAAAAATCGATATCTACAATTTTTATGTATAATTGGATAAAATGAAATAAAATATTGTTAGAAGAATTTTTTTTAACTTAATAAAACATAAATCCATCATGTTGCATAAAATTAATCTATTTTACTGTAGTGTATAAGTTAGTGTCAATATTCAGTTACTGTGATATTACTTTTATTTAATCATTTTTTGAGCAGGTTTTTTTTAATTTTTAAAAAATCTGATTTTACCGGAAATGTAATTTATTTTAGAACTATATCTGGGGTAGGAAAATTCTAATCGAAAAATAAAAACACCATTTTTTTATTTAAATAAATTGCTTGGCCCCTAATCCCATAAATATTCATAGTTTTATTTATTTTTAATTTATAGATTCGAGCTGAGGTTCAGACTGACTTATGCGGTTCTAGTTGGATGAAAAATATAGACAAACGCCATTATAAACTGGATCATTGATTATAATATTATAAGGTGGTATTAGTGGACGTGAACCACGAGAATCTCCGTGCCCCATTAAGTCACGCCAAGGAATTTAAAATTTTAACGTGACGGGCCTTGCCAAAAACCGGGTGTGATAAGGGGTGAATAGACATTTTGCGCGAATCACGTAAAATTTTAAAAAGTAATATCAATGAAAACCAATTATAATTTTATAACATTTTCCTCACAGAAACTATTTTAAGAGACTATTTTCAAAAAATTTTTTCTTCAAACTAGAAGCCTTTTACAAATCGAATTTTACAAAAAAAAATTAAACTCTTTAGAATTTTTCAAAATTATTGTTTGAACATTTTGATTTATAAATATGACGTAAGTAGTGAATTCTTTACCGCAAAAATATGTAAGATTCTTTAAATATTATTTTTGCTATTTGTGTAGAATTATAATTTATGAATATAAATTCAAAGGTAAAAAATATTGATAATCATGCTTTGAAAAGGTAAGAAAAAATTGATTCTAAATTTTAAAATAGTCATTGGATATATCGGGCGTGATTAAAATTTTGTATTTCGTGAGTGGGCGATGAGGGAAAATGAGTATCGGGCGTGAATATAGGACAAATTTTTTTAGTACCAGCCTGAGTGGACGATAGAGGTCTACAAATGGCAAAATATTTAGGCCTAACCCTTTTGGAATTTAACTTTTACCCAAGCCATATTTGTACTCGGCCCCGCTAGTTTTCATTTTTTACTAAAGTTTACCGATCAGGATTCTTTAAATAAAAGCCCTATATGTAGTTAAACACCAAAATAAATAACTATTTATAATAATGGGGAGTGGTTAAATTAAACTATACTATAAGTATTATTACTATCAAATATTAGAATTCATCGATAATTTTTTTGCCCGGCCCGGTCCAAGTAAAAAAAATTCAGATGTTACTTGCCCCCCCATTACGCGCCCAACTATAGGTGGTATCGGTCTAGCCGATCAGATGATCAACGAAAAATTTGCAGATCGGAACAGCTCTAATGATATAATATAATAAATATTACAAGAGGTATCGATCGCTCAATTCTGACAAAAAAAATGTTTCTGGCACATGAAATTTGAACATTCTTGGGTTTTTTACTTTTGAGATATTTTACTTTGAATATTCGAACCATCAGTTGGAGCGGCAGCCCGGTTCGCGGGCCGGATAACTTTTGCAAAATATTTCTACAATTCGGGCGCATCTTTTTAAATCTTAGAATTTGGTATATTTTTGTTTCTTTCCCTTGATAAAAAAAATTACTAGGGGTGGACCGAAAAATTTTTTCAAAAATTTGTAGAACTATAAAATTGCTCGATAATAAACATTTCCGATTATATAAAGGTTTCCATGATACTTATTATCTACTATAAACATAATATTTACTACATTCACATTATTTTATATAAGTTCTCTCTCTTATAGTTATAATTTCACTTAAAAATATAAGACTTTTTTTGTATACGATAATTATTTCGCTATTGAAAATAAAAAAAGAGAAACTTTATAACTACGATTTTGACAAAAGAAAATAGATTATAAATCTTAAAAGTATAAAAAAACCTAGAAGGACATTCGGTGTTAAAAAAATTTAATTACGTATTTTATTATGAATAAGCAAAGCCAATAAGTACTCATTATTTAAAAAAAATTTATATAGGTTATGGCTTAAAAACTCTCGTAAGTTTTTTTTATCCTTGATCAGATAAATATTTTTGGCCTATTCAAGAACGAATACGAATAGTGCATTAAACGAATCGGATAGTGCATTAATATAACGAAATTATGATACATATTAATTTAATTAATGTCAAGCTGATTTTTAAGTGAGAGTTTTCTTATTCTTCTTTGTAAGACAGGCGAGATTATTATACTTTGTTAATCGCACTACCTGTCACGGAGAGGTTATCAATAGAGAATGACAAAATTTAAAAAAACATCATTATTCCGAATAATTTGTCAAATATTAGTATCATTCGAATTACTTATTATATAAGAATTGAATATATCCCTATTCGTATTCAAATAAAATCGATTACTTTTGAATAGGTTTATTACCCCTAGTTAAAAAAAAAGTTAGAAAAGCCGCTGATAGCTAAATAAAGTTAGGAATGCGATAAAAGGGGGTGGGGTAATATAAAAGGTACATATTGTATGATTAATTTTTCATTTATTCCCTGTAATTTTAGTATATATATTTTTTTTTCTTTAGCTTTCACCTTTTCTGGTGGTAAGCTCCTTCAACATTTCTCTCCACTTTATGTTATTCATACAATCTCTTTTATCTAATTTATACTTCTTTATATTGGTTCTAACTTTATGGCCCCATTGAAGTTTTGTTACGTTTGCCCATCACTTCCAAACTCTCAACCTTATTTCCTATGTAGTTCATAGGCCTTCTCATTGTGTGTCCATACCACCTAAGTCTGTTTACCATTAACTTAGTCTTAATGGGCACTACCTTTAAACTACTTAGTAATCTTGTACTGCGCACTTTATCTTTTCTTGTTACCCCAGCAATCATCCTCAGCATTCTCATCTCCATAGTTTGTAGACTTCTCTCGTCTGATTCTTTGGTTGGCCATGTTTCCGAACTATATAGAATAGTTGGTTGTACTATGGAACCGTAAATTTTCCCCTTTAATTTGTATGGGATTCTTTTGTCAAATGGCACTCCAGATAAAGATCTCCACACCACCCTTGATTAATTTTACTCTTTATCTCTTTTTCTATTGTGTCGTTTGTTTGTATAGTGGAGCCCAAATATTTGCAGCTTTCAATTGCCGATATCTGCCATTCATTTATATCAATACTCTCTGTTCCTCCTAATTTACTTTTAGTCCGTGCTTTTCTAGAATATTTATCCAACTCACTAATCTTTCTTTCATATCATCTCGGCAAGTATCACAATATCATCTGCAAATATCATATTCCACGGGACTGTTTGAGGTATACTGTAATGAAGAGAAGTGGGCTGAGAGCCGATCCTTGATGAACTCCTTAGGCTATTGTGAAGCCTGCTGAAGTCCCTGTTGTTCTACGGACCATTGTTGTATGGCCCATATACATATCCTGCATTATTCTTATATATTTTTCGGGAACCTTTTTGTGGCGTAGCGCTCACCAAGTAAGTTTTCTTGGGAGATCGAGAAAGACCATGTGTAGCTTTTTGTTCTTTTCCCTGTATTTTTCACTCATTTGCCTAATTGCGTGGATAGCATCAGTTGTTGATCTTCCAGGCATAAAGCCAAACTGAGTCTCTCCTATTTCGATTATGTCTCTTAATCTTTTTTCTATTATTTTTCCGTATAGTTTTAGACAGTGTGACATTAGTTTGCCCCTGTAATTTTGACAATTGTGTGGATCCCCTTTATTTTGGGGAACCTCTTCATTTCCAAGTATTTTATTGTACACATCATCTCCTAGTGCTTTAAGGCTTTCTATTGGAATATCGTCTAATTTGTTGTTTTTCATATGCTTGAAGCATGTGATTATTTCTTGTTCTGTTATAGGTTGTACAAGGTTTTGACATGGGGAGTGTGTTCGTCTAGATGTAGTATGTGGGGATTAAAGTTAAAAAGCTCCTCAAAATATTATTTATTCGTTAATTCTTTTTCCTTTATTATCAATTTCCCATCTTTATTTTTGATTACTTTCGGAGCTCCGTTTATATCCCTAGAGTTCTTTTCTCGCTGTTTGGCTAATCTGTATATTTTATTTTGCCCTTCTTTGGTATGTAGTTCTTCATACATGTCAACGTATGCCATAGATTTGGCCAGCCACCGCCTTTGTAGCTATTCTCTTGGATTTTTTGTAATTTGTCTTGTCATGTGAGTTTTTGGATTTGAACCATATTTTATATAGGGCTTTTTTCTCCTTTATAGTAGTTTGTACCTCTTCATTCCATCACCATAGTTCTTTGTATGATTTGTTGCCTCCCCTTGTCAAG